TTTCTCATCGTCACACAGCAACCGATTCTTTGATTTTGCAAGGAAAGAGCAATTTAATTTGTGTCCCGACCGGGAATTGAACCCTCGATTGCGACGAGGGAAGCATGCACGCTAACCAACGGACCACCGAGGTAGGAAAATGGAAATCAATGTAGCTAAATTTATGACAATATCTGTCAAGTAACTTCAAAAGACTCATAGGCCAGGTATCCTGTGATGAACCGCCACTCTGGAGGTATTTGCACAACCCTTACTTTTTAAATCTCACGCCAATTTCTCTGGCCTTTTTCTGATACCATATGGTCTCGTACTAAAAAAATCTCCCTACGAGACTAAGGCCTCGAGTTTAAAAAATTAAATCTCCCGAGACCGTATGGTTTTGCATGGCCGCAATGTGTTAATAGGAGAACTTAACAAAGATAATAAATAAACTTCAATTAATATTTGTGAAACTATTCTTCTCGCAGCATTGGTGTGAATTTGATCTCTGTAGAACTTTTGAATGATCACTCTTCTGTCGTTCGATCCCATTCATCTGATTCCTTTATTTTGCTCTTCATGATAATTTCCGCTGCAAAATATCCAGAATATACACATTTAAGAACTTCATTCTGTGTGATCGCTCATCTTCTATTTTTGCATTGCTGAATCTGTAACATTCTCTCTTTTGAAAACCCTGTAATATCGTCACACGTTTTTATAGAAAAATCAAATGCATACGCACGCGTACATAAGGAAGATGACGGTTCGTTTGGGTGATGTCCACTTTACAGATTTTCGCTGGATGAATTTCGCAGGTTCTGCGCTTGAGTGTTTCTTTGAGCAAGAAAGGGACGCTGCCCGAAACACCCATGTTTTGCATTAATTTAGACATTCTAAGTCGGTATTCGAAAATCTTAAATTTTCTGCAATTCCACATTTTCGCGTTTCGTACATATACTCTTCTTTCTAAAAACTAAAAGGCACTCAGAAATCCAGGAATCGGTTCAGTCTATTCACCTTCCAACTATCCTTGTATTCGCCATACAATTCTCATTGGCCTTAATTTTACTTAGGCAAAAAGTGCCTTGGAATGCCCGTATAAAAACCATCAAGCGCGAAAGGGAGGGCGAGTGCGATTTTCGCACTCTTCTTCCTCCTCCTCCTCCTCGACGTCGTCGTCGTCCGCTGTGGCCACGTCATCGCTGCCCGCGGCGAATGCGGCGGCATGGCAGCGCAGAGGAGGTCCGCAGCGGGGCCGTGGAAAGTCCCCGTCCGCTGCGGTCAGTGACTGAGCGGTGCCACGCCGTCTGCAGCGCCGCCTTGCCCGCGCCGCACCGCGCCCCGACCCGCCCCGCCCCGCCCCGCCCTCCCCACGCCGTCCCGTCCCGCCGCGCCGCCGCGGGCAGTGGGAGCCTGGATGGAATCCGCGGCCGCGGGCGCGGCCGGCTCGCTGTCAGGGTGCTGGCTGCTCCGGAAGCCGCGGGCCCCGTAAATGACCGCAGGCGCTTTGCGAATGAGGGTTCTTCTTCATTCCAGCGGATGATGGATGGGGGAAGAGGCTGTCGCAATGATCTTCCTTCTTGGAAGCGGGCAACGTGGGAAGAATTGCAATTAGTTTACCTTTTCAGTACTCGCTTTTGATTGATACGAATTTATCATGCAAGGACGAAAACGTATACATTTTTGACATCACCTCTCGATTGCAATTATCTGTATAAGAACGATATTAAAAAAACGCCATTGTGATAAAATTATATTTATGTATTTGCTTTTCTTCATTTCTCAGATCACACAGACCAATTAAGTCAGATTCTGTAAAAAAGGTATTTTTCCGTTTCTCTTATGTTCCTGTAATTATTTATTTCTTCTAGTTTGCACATTGTACAGCTGCGTAATGAAATTTACATACGTTATAAGGATGCCGTTTTCACATCTTTATTGATAAGCTGCATCGACTCTGTTCCGACATTCGCCTGGTATTGGCCGAAGAAGCCACGGAAAATCAATCAGAGCAACTGGCCGCTAAAATTCTCCGAACAGCGGCTAAATTCGGCCCAGTTATAGAACTAGTGACGAAAATACTCCACTGTTGAGACTCGGACCGGAACTAGTGCCTTTCGGTCAGAGTTGCGGCAGAATAGCCGGCAATGCTGACTTTGAGCTAACTTAACCGCTCTCATCATTCGATGCGAAATTCGTGGGAACTGAAATACTTGTGAAATGTTTTTACGATGTGTTCCTGCCTCATCCATTTTCTTTCCTTCCTCCATACGCTTCATTTGTCAATTCATAATTCACTTCTTTACCTGTCAGTCTGCCTTTTTATCCCATCCCCATCGCAGCGAATATGCACAACTGTAAGAGAAGGTTGCGGAATAAAAGTCCTCGTGATGATTCCTGCGGTTCCAAACAACCAATAAATTACACGAATGAAAAAAGTATTTTTGAAAATCTCTTATTTATTCACAGGTACAGTCTTTGTATTGAAGTCGCTGTTTTTTCTCATCGTGTTACATTACCTTTAAGGAATGCAAATGACTATGTTCTGTGCCTTGGAGGAAATTGTACCGATTATAGCAAATTCATGTTTTGCCATCCTTCACTAGATGCCAGACATAATGAAGTGATCAATAATGAGCACCTTTGGTAACTGCTCATTGACTTTCGAGAGCATCTTAAATTTTAAATTAGTTACGCTTAGCATGATTTATCGTCCGCTTATTCACTCCAAGCGCCCTATTAGCGGGCCACTGCTCATTCAAAGGCCAAAGCGGCCGTGATCTTGGCCGAGCGTCTGCTGCGATCCAGACGGATCCTCTGGAGACCGTTTTCGGACAGCTGACTGCTCTTCATCGCTTTGCCGCCATCAGACACATTTTTGTCTCGTTTTATTTGTCGTTTCTCGTAACACAAAGTGGTTTTGTTCTTCAAAACCTCCGCACGGCCAACCGTCTGACCATCCGTCAGGCCGTCCGTCTGGTTGCTAGCAAAGTGTTTTTTCTTTCATTTTTAACGGCGTTCAGGCCGTCCGTCTGCCTGTCTGTCTGTAAGTACGCCTGCTCATATTTAATAGCACAGTTCCGAGGTTATCCTAAGAGTTACTGGCCGTGATGTTTGGGGGTGTGAGAAGGACCTCTTCATCGTTCCGAGGGAAGAGGTAGTTGTCGTGGTGGCCCTTCTATTCCCTTGTGCGCCACCTGATGGCAGCCAAGAGTCAGTCGGGATGCAATCAGAATGTGGCTTCCAAGGCAGCCAAAAGTTGAGGGCAGAAGGGAAAAGGAAAATTTGCGATTTTCCGGTGCAGGATTCTTTCCAAGTCAGGGCGACAGTAGAAGACGACCAAGACAGTAGAAAGTAATAAAGCTGATCGACAGAGCTTTAAAATTTTCAAAATCATTCACCCAATTTTGCTGATTATTCTATGCAGCCCTATAGCCCTGTTAATCGAGATTAGAAATCGCCATGTATTATGATTTTTTTTATTATTAAATTAAGTAAACATAAGATACTAATGCATACAACTATTATGAATGATCACGATAGTGAGTACACATTCATTTGTTTTGTGAGCACGAGCGGTTACGTTTTGAAACTTCGAAATATCTCGTGCGAATTGCATTCGAACTTGGCAACCTTTGGTTTTGAGAAAGCAAAAATGAACACATAATGAAAGAAAACTGAACGGGTAGAAGTACGCTTTTTACTTTCTAGCCCCTATTTAATAAGTAGAGAAATTATTGTAATGGTGCTCCAGCAAAAAAAGAGTAGTTTTCGCGTAATTTTGTGTGATATAAAGGCAAGTTCAAACAAAATTTAAACAATTATTTTTTCAAAAATAGCTCCAATTTTTTAAAATGTCTTCTTATTTATAAAAAATTGTAAAAAATTGGGGCTAGTCTGATAACCAGCCAGCTCTGTATTTTCAAAGAAAACAATAATTTAAGACTTCAAAATTGGAAACATATTTTTATGTTAAACAAAAGACAGTATGTTCTAAACCATGATCTCTTTAAAAAGGTCATTCAGTTTTTTTAAAAGAGTAGTTGTTGATTAATTTGTACTTAAAATTAATTCAATTTATAAAAAAAAGTTTCTAAAACCTTTTCAAATTGTTTCTTCGAAAGTTGTCCGTGGATAGAACAATAAATGCTTAAAAGAATGGCGCAAATTTCATTTTCGTTGAACTCTCTAAATTTTGAAAAATTGCACATTTGGAAATAACGGGAAAAAGAATGTGCTGCTGCAGCACTACTATTGGATCTATATTCCCTTTGCAAAATCGAGCGTCCCCAAAACTCCTTCACTTTTCTCAGTTTCTGTCCAGATGGTAATGCACACTTGACCTAGCAAAGAGAAGCTGCCACTTCCCGCCGCCTAGCGCAAAGAGCTGTGCCACGACCCAGCATAGGTCTGCAGCGCTGCCTCAAACTGGAGGGGGCGACTACAGTTCCGGAATCTGTTTTCTATTTCTTTATTTTAATTCAGGAAATAAATTAATAAATACATTTGATTTTATGAACAATAATATAGAGGGTTGCCAGATGTCTGGGAGAGCCTTCTTCCCGATTGTTGTCTAACAATTTCCCAAAATGTGAGGTACAAAGGGGGAAAAAATCCTAGATTGAACATGTTTACGGAAATAAAAATAGTTTTGTTACAAAAAACGTAGGGGACCCCTTTCAAAATTTTGTGGAGGAGGGGGGGGGGCGGCAAGGGCCGCTGTGCGCACGCCTCTAGCTCCCAGGAACGTGGCGCGGGGCCAACGCGGCCTGCGGTGGCAGGGGCTTCCGAGAAGGCGGAGGCAGGGTTCGTCGGCGACCGCACGCCCCCCGGCGACGCTCTCGCGGCGTGCGTGTGGCCGCGCACGTACGCAACGCTCTTCGCTGCAGCCAGCCGGCGAGGCGGCGGCGGCGGAGGCAGGGGGCGCGGGGTCAGTGGCGAACCCCCGCCGCCCGCTCAGCCCCAGCCGGCCGGAATTCAATTACCCCCTTAGCGCTCGTCTAAACGGCTGCACTCGGTTCGCTTTGATGAAGCGCGCCCGCGCGCCGGCCGATGCGCGACGCCCATCGGTCAATGCCTCACCGCGCCCTCGCCGTCGGCGCACGGGACCCCTTCTCTTCGCCCGCCGCGGAGGCAACGTCGTAAGTAGACGGAAAAGGGACGGACCAGCCTTGTTTTTTTCTTACTGAAAATAAGCGTGATTTATGCAATATGTTTAAAATATTACGGTTTAACTCTTTAAAAATTTAAACGTACTATTTTACAACTGCTCGTTTTAGGAACATACGAAATCAAGCACTTTAACCCAAGGAAGCCAGGAGTAGTGAGAGGCGCAGCGAACTGAAGGCACCGCGGGTTGTATGTACAATGACTAAATGCAAGTACTTCGCATATTTGAAACTAACGATGCTACAGAAGGTCACACTCTTTCTCTCATTAGCTCGTTTCCTAATATCTTTAGTCTAAGTTAGCTTTCCGATATTTCCCCACCCTCTTCCCAGTTGCTAATTATTGGCGCTTTTAATTTTTTTTTTACATTACGCAATGTTACTTTCAACTAGTAGTAGAACTGTATTATGACTTGCCGAACTGTCTGCATTGAAAGTTTCAAGACAAAAATTTCCTTTACATGAAACCAAAGGACAATTTTTTCTCAACAATAGCTCCATATTTTTGGTTAATATTTTTCGGATAGAGAGCAATACGCTTATTAAAATGGCGCAAGTCTGATTTTCGGTAAGTTCTCTGAATTTGAGATTTTGCTCTAAAGATGAGATTGTTTTCTAAAGGACATCTTTTCTTCAATATCCGATCTTTAAATAAAATAATGTACACTGTTTTCAAAATAAGAAGTTTTCGTGTAAATCTGGATTAAATAAAATTTTAAAATGTTTTAAATGTATTATTTTCTACTTCTATTTTTTTTATTAAAAATGGCCTAAACCCGATTTGCCTTGAAATTTATCAATTTCCGAAAATTGGAAAACTTACAAATAATGCTAGAAAATAGATGCTATTGAAGAACCACTTATTCTTCATTGCCTGACTTTTTTACTTAATTTCTCAGATTTATTCCGTCTTCTGTTCACAATACTATGTAAATTGTTTTGAATCAAATTGATTCTTCCGGTTCTTGACTTTGGTTACTCATATATCCATTTTACTAATTCCCAATGCAAGAAGGAATTCACAGACAACGATGCAGCATCCGGCCACGTCAGAGATGTCTATGATTTTGTTAAATAAAGGAACTTGATTGTGTTAGTGCACCTATTCTCATACTACACGAACCGACAATTCTCACACTCAGTGCGTCACTGCTCACATCCCAGCAAACGTCATATGATAGACGGACTCTTAGAAAGAGGTCACTCATAAAAAATTTTGCTTTTTACATGTTGCTATATGGAACAACAACTTTTTTATTTGTGTTTTATGAAAAACTGTGGTATTATATAAAACTCTACCAAGTTATTGCAGTATTTGCGAAGACAGTTTTTGCTATAAAATTAAAAACACCATTTTTGAAACTGCCGACCATTACTTTTTTAATTATTTACAGAGGCTGTTTGTTTCCTCATATTTTAAACCTATCTCAATATACTCGTTTGGGTTAGAAGCCGTAACAGTCTCTGCACCTCTCTAACTACTTCCTGTCATGTGACCTAAAGAAGATAGGTATTGATTTCTCCCTGTCGTTGCTGGCGGCAGGTACTGGGCCGGACCTCCCCCCTTCCCCATCCCATTGTTGGTGAAAAACGCTTAGTCAGGTAGCCTCTTACATGGATCTAATAGTAATTGCACAATACTCTCCCGGCAGATGTTACTAGAAATAATAAATAGCCAAAGTAGAATATAACAGAATACATTAAAGCATTTTTTTAGTTTTAACCGGGTGTACCATAGTTATATTATAGTATAAAAGCAGAGAATTTTAATGTAAGGTAATATGCACAAGAACTCACAATTACCGTTTAAAATACATTCGTGTAACAAAATATTTTTCTAGATAAAATATTACAACTTTATTAAAATAACTGGAGAAACAAATAGTTTCTTCTAATTATTGTGAAGAACAGCACTGAAACGGAAAGGAGGAAATGTAAATATTTTTTTTTTCGTTTTAGAATGAGTAGGCAGCTTTTAGCCAACAAGGTTACAAAAGCACTCAAAAAATATTCTGGCATGGAGAGAGTGACCTTGTTGTGCAAAATTTGCGAGATTTTTGCACATGAAGTGCAGGAACTTGAAAATAAATCCATTACGTTGCAAATTTCCGGTAAAGCCAGATTTATTAATATCCTCAGGCGAGCACAAAGTCCTTGACAGGCACGAGCAGTACTCCTCGATTGCTGAATTCATCACTCTGACCGTTTGCGCCTTGCTCGCAAAACCTACAAGCGGCGCTGATCTGCCGCTTCCTGTCACATCTGGCTGTCTCATTCAAATTTTCTGGTCGAAACCAATATTCATTCGGGTGTTGAATACCCCGAAAGAAAATAAAATATAACACCTGCAAATAAAATTATATATAAAATTTAATTTTATGTTCTAACTAAAATTATTTTGAACAGAACCTACTCGGGAAAAAATTGTTTATATATACTTATTTTAATTCTTTATAAGCATACTTACTCTTTAGATCTTTTACTAGGGCATTTGTATTAAATTTGATATCAGTTGAAGGCGGAAAAGAAATTGTTGAAAAATTATTGAAAAAGTTCACCTTGTCTTAATCTGTCAAAGTTCAATGATATAATCATTTACGTATTAAAATATTAGAAACGTTTTCAAAATCATGTCAGCAATATTGATTTCTAGAAACATCGTTCAGATTGGCAGCACTAATCCTCACATCGAGAAACCTGCGTCTGTCCATCCGTGACTCACGGTTGAACCCCTCGCAGTGAACCAGTCGAGAGAAATTGAAACAACAATCTACGTGTCTCGGTGTACTGATGGGGAACAGATTTTTTTTTCGGATTCATCCAGAAGTTTCTAAGAAATTTTTCTAAAAAAGTATTTTTTAAGTATCGATAATGAGTTTTGGAAGACTTACGACACGCACAGAGAAGCCCATTCGATTCCTCGCGACTAGACAAATCCACAATTCTTCGACGAGTCCCTTCAGGAAATTAGATAACTATTTTAGAAAACACGTGTTTTTATGGTTTCACAGCACCTACGAGTGCATTCGTGAAACACTGTTACTACAGTATCGTTCCGGCATTTACATGAGTCATTACAACTTCATTCACTGATTCATCAGATTGGCGATAATTAAACATATTTAATGCATTATATAAATTACGTGTTGGGGGTGGCCTAAAATGAGTGGCAGGGACTGAAGTTTCATACTGAGGCGGTCTCAGCCGACTGCTCTCGACAAGATGAAGTTATTGTTTTCATTTTTAGCCGGATCTTTCTACAATATTCTGGAAATTTCATTATACTGACGATAGTTTTTCATTATATTAACGATAGTTAAATCTAAAAATGTAATGAAACGAGATTTTTCAGAAAAGTACTTCTTCCAATTCTTTTCCTTGTAACTGTCTCTTTCTGAATATAGATGAGAGTTTTTGTTTCTTAATAAGAACTTGCTCAGCGAAAACAAAAATTGTCAACGAGAAAGTACCCGTCGCCGGAGGCGCCAAGCAAAGGCAGATTTAATTAAATAAATAAATGCTCTTGAAAGAACACAAACTTTCAAGTATATGTTGGATTTCATATTTTCCTTTAAGATAAGTAATTACAAAGACACACACACACACACACACACAAAGTTGTCAGACCCAAAGACTTGTCACCTGTTTCTCTATGCACGTAGACGCGCTGAATCCGAAGCCAGAATTGCGCCACCCCTCCAGTTTTTTAAGTCCTTGGGTCCGACAACAACCCCCGAAAACAAAAAATACAATATCACTGTGGCTTTTCGCGATAAAAAATACCTGGAGGGTGATGGCGCAATTCTGGTTTCGGGTTCAGTTTCAGAGCGTCGAAATACAGATAGAAACACGTGTCAAATCTTTGGGTCTGACCATCTTTTGTGCCTGTGTTATCGCAAAGCTGTTAATGAAGTCATTTGTATCATTTATCTTTAGCACCAGTTATTCAAGGTTCCCATGAATGTCGAGGTAACGCTGATTGCTAAGGTCCACACTCGCAGGGGGTGGAAGGGTCCCACAGTGCGCATGCGCGCTGGGTGGTCGGCCGCCGTGCCGTCCCTCACGTACGCCACCTCGCACCACCCTGCCCCAAGGGGCGGGGCTCCTGGAATCAGCAGCTTCACACGTAATTGAAAAGTCGATTCAGAGCAGCTAATCATGCTGGTATCTAATGGAGATAAGTCCATACATTTAATGGGAAATTCAAAGTCGATTCTTAAAAAAAATAATTAGCTGCCTTACAGGGTAAAATAAAATAGTTCAGAAACTTTGAATGAAATTGATGAAAATGAAATGAAAACCTTTGAACCAAACAGTTTGGCCTCCAGTAGAATCATTAATTGATTAGTTTCTGGAAGCGTCAGTTGCTCAGGTCATTAGTCACCTCTTCCCAACTTTTCCTAAGCCCCTCTTCCCAACTT